CAGAGACCACCCACGCCTTTGGCCAGCCAATCCCATGTGGGCAATCAAGTGGCTGTTTTGAAGGGGAGATTTTTTCTGCTCTGGACCATGTAGGAGGATATGACGGCTTATGTGTCACAAACCAAGTTAGATCACTTTACATAGGAGGCAAAGCTCAATAGCCTGAAAGTTGACACAGAACTGAGTGCATGACTGGGATTAGACAATTCTGCTAGCCAATAAGAGTTTGCCCAAGCCTTTGGCCAGCCAATCCCATGTGGGCAGTCAAATGGCTGTTTCCAAGGGCAGATTTTTCCTGCTCTTGATCAGGAAGGATTTGCTGCGCATGTGTTGCAAACCAGGTTAGAGCACGTTACACACATTGCAAAGCTCAAGATCCCGAAAAGTGACACACCCCCATGTGCATGGCTGGGATTGGATGATTCTAGCAAATCAGAGGGTTGCCTAAGCCTTTGGTCAGCCAATCCCAAGTGGGCAGTCAAATAGCTGTTTCTGGGGGGTTTTCTCTGCTCTTGGCATTTGGGCTGACGTATCAACTAGAAAGGAAGGGTTTAGAGGGAGAGGCAGTGACAAGGAACCTTCCTGTCTACTGTGAGGGAGAGGCAGGGGCCAATCAGAGATCACCCAAGCCTTTAGTCAGCCAATCACATGTGGGCAGTCAAATAGTTGTTTCCATGAAGAGATTTTTCCCCAACCTTGGCCTTTGGGCTGATGTATCAGCTTGAAAAGGAGGGTTTGGAGTGAGAGGCAGTGGCATGGATCTTTCCTGCCTACTGTGAGGCAGGCACACTGGCTTCTGAAGTTCGAAGTCAGCCACCAAATCCCAGATTTATTTTAATGAGGCAGGTAGGATTGGAAGATCAAGGAGCATTTAGAGCCGGGTGGCAAGTGCCTGTCATGAATACAGAATGTTCTGGGGCTGCTCTGGAGCTTGCCCTTGCTACTGCAACCTCCATCTTCCAAAGCAGTTAAGGGCCAGCTGCCTAGGGGTGTGGCAAGCAAGTTGATTTAGTTACAACAAGCACCTTATTGTTTACATCTAATCCCACATTTTCTTTCTCCCCAATGATGCATGTGAACTGGGTTCCAGGGGTAAACATCACTGCTAAAACTTGAAAGGGTGGGTGTCTTAGCAGTTGTTCTTTCTTACCTTGGCTAGGAATATGAGGAAAGTTATTTCTAGCCTCCAATAAGCACAGTTTGAATTACAAAACTAACAGATTCCAAAGTCATACTTGCAAGATTTGAATGGTTAGCACTTATTCACTCTATAGCCAGCTGCAAGCAGGTCAAATAATAGCCCTGTATTAAATTTCCCCCAATATAACATGGGTATACAACTTAAAGTATATGAGTTTGTGTATGCAAAGAGCTTAATACCAGAGATAAGATTTTCATTTATTTATTTTAATGTGTATGAATGTTTTGCCTGCATGAATATAAATGCATCACGTTTGTGCAAGCCTTCGAGGTCAAAAGAGGGCTTCAGATCTTCTGGAACTGGAGTTACAGAGGGTCATTAACCACCATGTCAGTGCCAGGAACTAAACATAGCTCCGCTGGATGAGCAACCAGTGCTCTTAACCACTGAGCCATCTCTCCAGCCCCAAGAGACAAAATTTTATTATGTAATAGACTATGTAGCATTACCTAGTTTGTCTTACATACTGTTTGCCTTACATACAAATATTTGTCTACTTATCTTTGGAAGGAAATACAAGTTTAGGAAACAATCAGAAGCAGAGTATTGGGGGCTGGAGAGATGGATCAGTGGTTAAAAGCACTGACTGCTCTTGCAAAGGACCTGGATTTGATTCCCAGCACCCACATGGCAGCTAACAACCATCCGTAGCTTGTTCCAGGGGATCAGAGGCCTCTTCTGACCTCCGTGGGCAATGCACAACACAGGCACACTTACACACATGCAGGTGATACACTCATACACATAAAATAAAAATGATAGGTAAAATTTTATAAAGAAGCAAAGTGTATCAAAATAAAGTCATAAATCTCAACTTGTAGAAAGGCGCCACAAATAAAATAGCTTGAGGATTGGAAATATATCTTTTTTCTCAAAACGATACCAGATTAGTGTTCATTATAGTTACATTGCTTTTGCACCAATAACGCCCTCCTTTATATTCAGTTGCTTATAAAGCACTTGCTGTTTGGGAAGCCTCAAGAATAGTTACATAACAAGGATGAGAAAACCCAGTTGTTTAATTGCAGTCACGTTTATTTGCAGTTTCTATACACACTTTCTAGGTAATCAAACTTTTCTGATACATTTTTGAGAGGGGTTCACAATGAAACTGTCACCGTTTTTTACTAAAAATAAATACAAGACTTAAAGTGTTGCACAGCTCTAAAATATACAAAGGCTTGGATTGAATGTAAACGTTGAAAACATTTTACAAAAGAAACCATCTTTGCAACAATTTAAAAAGTTCATATTTACAAATATTACAAAAATACAAAATGGATGCAAGTCCACAAACCATTGTCTTTTCGGCCAGCAGGAACTGGTTCTAGTACCAAAATACTTACACCGTAACCTTCCATAGTTTTTACAATCTAGATCTCTAAATTGCCACCACTGCCCAGGAATGTGCTCACTAACCGGCCATTGGCAAAAGCAAACAGCATGTTTTGTTTGCTATAACTAGTCCATGTCCTCTACTAAGCCAAAAAATAGGACAAAACAAGAAACTCAAACCAGAATCACAAAAAAGCAAGAAATCAAAAGAAAATTCCCCCACACAACATAAACATGTTAGATAATCATAAAAGAAAAAAAAAATAACATCAGTGCAAACAACAGAAGAAAAGTTTGGATTTTTTTTTAATAATACCTAATGTGTGTACCCTGCTTCAAGCTGGCAGTGATGTTAAAGACAGCCCTAAATCTTGCTCTCACTTATTCTATAATAAAGCTGTGTAGAATATTCCAGATTATTAAGGAATTGCTTGATTTTTAACTGTTTGTCATTCAATATTCTTGTCCAGAGTGAATCTAAAATCCATCTTTATTTGGATTTTCTTTAAATCTATGAATATAAAATAGAGAAACTCTGCTATAGATTTTTAGAGTAAACAAAATAAGTAAAACTATATTATAAGGGTTAGTTCTGTGATGATTACATAGAGGGTATCTTATTGCCTCACAATTCAAGTCAAATATGTATTTTAAAATATATATGGTACTATTACTTAAATTAATGTCAATAATAAAAGGTGACATTTTTTATTAAAGCCAATTCACGTGTTTTCTATTCAAGCTTTATAATCACTTTTAAAGCCCACATACCTTTCTTCACGCTTAAAATCCCCTAGCTACACAAAAGCCATACTGCAAACGAACTGCTTTTATGAAAATTACAAATGATCACCTACGGTGACTGAAAATTATGATTTCTTATCACATTTGTCTAAAAACTTTTATTTTTAAAATTTTTTCAAGTGTACTTTTCAAACTGAGACAGATTTTTTTCATGAACCATATGGTGTCAAACCATGCTGGGTTTTTTTTTTTTCAATGAATGATGTGTTCCAATGACAAATGGTGGTCCATTTTTTAAACCCCTAAACATTTTCAATAAAAATTATAACACTTTGTATATGTTCAAACCCTTTACCAGGTAGTTTATCTATCCCCAGCACACACTTGAACTCTCTCTCTCTCTCTCTCTCTTTCTCTCTCTCTCCTCATTCTCAATCTCCTCCTCTACCCCTCCACCCCCAACACCCATTTTACATACAATAATGACAAGAAATTAAGTAACACAGTTTGGTAGTAAAAACAAATAGTAGAAGAAGCCAGACTTCTTTTTTTTCCCAAACAAACAAATCACCAACAACAATCAGATTCTCTAACTCTTAATCTGTAACTATTAAAACACATTTCTATTGAAAGACAGTATCTTCCTAGACCAGACTTTCTCCTTCATTTTGCATGAGTTAGTCCTAAACAGTAAACCCCTTTCATTCATCCTACTTTCTCAAATACCACTTGCATAGGCATAAAGCCAGTTGCTTATTGATTTCTTGGTAACCCTGGTATGTTCTATCATTGTAATGACATTCTACCTTTTCATAGCTCATATCCCTTTTCAGTTATTTCTAAGTTCTACCTCTCCCATTCAAAATCTATTCTAAGCACATGGCTGCTTATATTTCTGACTTATGATTCCAAACATTAGTATCAGTTCACGTTAAAATCAGAGGTGTGAAAACCACTTGCCGATTTCAACTTGTTACATTTTTTTTTCAGTTTTAAGACAAGAAAATTCAAGTAATTTCAAGTAATTCAGCTTGTTTCCCTGCCTTCATTTTATCAGAGCACTTGCCCTGATATTTCCTTTCCCACCCACCACCCTCCCCTTTTACCGTCAAGCAGATATAGTAAAACCAGACGAAAACTCAGTTGTGTGTAGCATTGTGAACCAGAGCCCCATGCCAAGTTAAAGAGTGAATATAAATAATGCATATACACATACTTATTTCCCAACTACATTGTTCACAGTGTCATTTCTGTTAATTTTTAGGTAGCATGAATCTCATCAGCATAGAGAGAAATCTTTGCTGAAAACTCATCACAGGTATTTACTGAGAAGTCAGTAGCTCTGTGGCATGCTTACGTTTTATTTCTGTTAGTTTTAAGAACCTGGAGCTAATTGCTAAATTGTTTAATAAGTTTTAAAGAGCATAGTCATTCGATTATGACTGTTTATGTTCCCAGTAGCCATATATAAAACATGACCTAAAATTAACTACTGGTTTCCCTATTCATTCTCCTTAAAGCAATCCATTGACAAAATTAAATTCTAAAGGACACTGTTAAATGCTATTTGGGGGTGGGGGGTGGTTGCATCAAGAATGGTGATTTTTCTCTCATTGATTAAAAAAAATCAAAGCATGCTTTTTCATTGTGTTCAGATTGCCACATGACAAATCACAGCCACAAGGTGAGATTAACTTGTTTCTGCTGTAATTTGTCACAATAATATTTTAAATTAATCACATTTCAGTATATGACCTCAAGAATTCCATTATTTCACCAGTTTTAAATTCCTTTTTGAAGTTTATCACTCAGGAATCATTTTGGTGGACATTTAAATATGGTATTTGATATGAAAATGGTATTCACAGAATACAGTTATTACACTTTATTTTTGTGTCTTCTATAAACAGTTGGTATACGGTAGATAATTGGCTACATGTCCACTCATTGATAAATCTATTTACACATTTTATCAAAAATATGGTATTTACATATGTGTAGTTCTTTCTTCTAAATTTTGCTTTAGCTCATTTTAATGTAAAAAAATACCAAACTTCCAGAGTAATTGCATCTTCTTAAAGAATCATGACAGTGAGGGCTTTATTTTCTGAATAGGCAGCTCTGGGAAAAACTTGTCCAAGTTTCAAGAAAGTTAGATAATTTGTGTTCTCTGTTATCACAAGGAATGAAATCGGGCAAATCAAACTATGCTAAAGAAAACCTTGAGAGACAAGAATAGCTACTTAAAACATGGAAACTAATCAAGAAAAACTAAACCACGTTCTGTTTCCCCAGCGTATATTTAGAAATTCATTGCCAAGCAGCGATGCGATGCTACCCCACCCTGTTGTCACTTCCCCCAATTCTTCCACGGTGTCCCAAAATTCTTTCATTACTAAGGGGCTGAACATTCGGGTACAGGTTGGCTCAAACTATGTGGAGCTCTGAGAGGAGCGGTCATCGTGCGGGCTCCCGTCGGAGTTTTCTGTCTCTCCCTCAGAAATGGCCTGCATTGGCGTATTGTACAGCCGGCAGCGGACACTGTACCGGCTGCTGCTGGCCACGGGTGGGGCTCGGGAGCGTCCAACTCGGGCCGATGCTGAGGTGGCAAAGTTCTTCGAAGAAAACCCTTCTGCATTGACTCGTGGAGAACATGGAGACAGAGGAGACAATGACTCGGCCCCGGGAGAGCCCTGCTGGGCATCATCCGTGCTCTGTGAGGACTCTGGAGTGAGTTCCCCAGGAGGCTTGGGCAGGACCGGACTCTTCAGGATCTCGGTGGCAGACATTCGGTAACTGGAATCTGAGCGACTGCCTTTCTTAAGGAGCAGCAGCTTAAACTCTTCGTTGGATGTGTTGGACTTTTTGGCATTGCGGTAGATCAGACCAGGAGACCTCTGGCTATTCCCAGCTGTCACACTGCCGCTGGATGAGGTGACAGAACTGGCACTGCTGCTGCCGCCGCCAAGGGGAACTCTTGATTTGCTTCTAACAGACATGTCCCCGGAATCTTTTCTGCCAAGCACTTTCCTCTTGGATCTTTTAGGAGAAAATGGGACAAAAATCTGAGCCACATACATTTTTACGAATCAAGAAGTATTGGATCTCATTTCTGCAACTAGTGTATTTAAAGAGCATCCTGTCTGGTAGAATAGAGGTTAAGATCCAAGATTTTCCCTTGAGTCACTCACAGTTTCTGGGAAATTCTGACTGCCTGTGGCCATCAGTTGGGTTGTGGAGATGACTTTTTAAACAATGGCTAATGAGGAAGTTTGGGATGCTAAGGGAGGACTTACTGAGCTCGCTTGCAAGAATTTAAGGGGAAAAAAACTAATGACTTCTGGTTGAGAAACAAGAAGGTGGAGAAATATTGTGACTTTTTCTTATTAAATCTGTCTGTACAATACAGATTAAATGCTCTCACATTAAGAACTGGCTATCTAGGAGCTTGTATCTAATCCTTAAAAGATTTTAGGGTTACCTCTTCAGAGGGGAGAATGTTGGAGGGGAGGGAGTGGGCATGGATTTGATCAAAACACCTTATATACATGTATGAAATTCTCAATAAAGTTTTTGTAAAAGTTAAAAGAAAAAGAAAAAAGAACTGGCTTCCAGCCAGGCATAGTGGTGCATGCCTTTAATCCCAGCATTCGAGAGGCAGAGTCAGGTGGATCTCTGCAAGATCGAGGCCATCATGGTTTACATAGTGACTTCCAGGCCAGCTGGGGCTACAGGGAGTCCCTGTCTGAAAAGTTAAAAAAAAAGAAAAAGAATTTTCTTCCAAATAGTACTAAATGCAGCAAGTGGATGATGGTGCAGTGGATGGTGGTATAGGACTGGCCTTAGTTTGATACTTGATGGGCCTGTAATGGATATAGCAGGGTGCACTACAGATTATTCTACATTTGAATTTCCTGCACATGAAAATTAATTAAATGACTTTTTCAATAAATCAATCCATCTCTGGTGGCAAATACCATGTCTCTTAGCTACCTACGAACATCAACAGCACATTAAGCAAAAAGCTAACTCCTTCTGAGAGACTACCTAGACAATCCCTGGAGCTCTTAAGATGCTCTACACTGTAAGCTCTCAAGAAAGGAAAATAACTCTTGCCATTGTGCTATAAATTAATAATCAAATCCTATTAAAATATAAATCTAAGTTTAACAAACTCCTTAAGTCTATATAATCTCCATACCCATCATCATATTGTTGATTTTCTTTTGATAGTTATGCAGGTATAAACTCAATGAATCTTCAGCATAACTCAGTCATGCTAAGCATTGACATCATGCTCTTTCACCAACTTAACCTATGGAGTAAAGAAAATGTGAGCTTTGCACTTGCAGACCAGCCTGCTTTTGTTCACAGAAATCTTTGTGGTTGGTATCTTTATATACCAGTGTCTCATACCCCAATAGGGTTGAATTTCCAAATACTGTGTGTTTTTCCCAACTAGACACACAAAAATATATTGTTTTATAATCAATATTAAATGTATGAGGTATAGTTATCTCTACTTATAGTAAGGGGTTGGATTCAGAGATTTTTTTAACTTATTCAAGACTGCAGAAAAAGGGGCAGAGTTAGGATTCGAATCCATGTCTTTGTGATTCTACAATTTACATCTTGCCTACCATTCTAGATACTGCATATGTTTCTTTGAGTATAAGTATCTGGTTTATTAACTTACATACCAGATTAATAATTAATCCTGAGGTTAGGGATAATATGTGGGGGTTAGGGGAATATAATTGGAATTTAGACTATATCTGTGGTGAAGAACATAACTACTGATTCTTCATCCTGGTTGTGGGGAAGGATACCTGCTAAGGTACAGAGAGAGGGTGCTACTTACAGAACCCTTAATAAAATACAGTTGTTGAAGAGCAGTGATCCTTCTTTAAGAAAGAAATGGATCAACAAAAAACAGAAATCTTTTAAAAAGCAGAAGCCCTGGGGGAAAAGATGGAAAAACTTCAAACTGCTCACAAAAAAAAATTTCACCAGAAATAGTTAGTCTGGGGCTGGAGAAATGGCTCAGTGGTCAAGAACACTGACTGCTCTTGCAGAGGACCTGGGTTAGATTCCTAGCATCCACATGGAGGCTAACAACCATCTGTAGCTCCAGTTCCAGGGGATTCGACGATGCCTCCTTCTGACCTCCACAGGCATTGCACAACACGGGTGCACCTGCACACGTGCATGCAATACACTCATACACATAAAATAAAAATAATAAATAAAAAAAATTAAAGAAGAAATAGTAAGTCTGTGAACCAGGAAAGATAATCCCCGCATTCCACTCTATGGGAATTCCATATAGGCCCCCAGGTATAAGAAGGCAGTCATGTTTATGAGAAGAGGAGGCATATCATTATTGTCTAGCTCAGTGGATATGTTTGCTTTCAAGAGTGAGTTCTTGCTCTATATTTTTGAACTCCAGCTGGAATGAATTTGTAATTCTTGCAAATATGGACCACTGATAACAGACTATCAAGGGACAAATGTGAAAGCATGCACGGGCAGCCAAGACACAATGCGTTCTGGGAAAGCGACGCAGATAACATTTCTTTTTCATCAGGTACAGCCTTTAATTTTAGACATAAAGGTCAGTGCTATGAAAGAAATTTAAGTTTTAGGGAGACATGATATAAAAGGAGGAATTTTCAGCTGTGCAAAGCTGAGATAGATGGACAGGCAAATAGAATCTCTTATATTTGTGGCTCTGGTCATTTTAGTAAATCAACATATGTTTGTCTCAGCTAGTATATGATTTTAGCTTTGAGCATATTTTCAGGCTCAAGAAATCACTTAAGAGTCAGAGTGTTAAGGGTATATCTCAGTGGTGGGGTTTTTGCCTAGCATGTGTGAGGTCCTGGGTTTGATCCCCAGCATTGTGAAAATAAATTTTTTAAAAAGTAAGTCAGAGATTATAGTAGAGTTTGAGCTTTTACTCAAAGTCACTTAACTATAAAATTTGTTCCAGGATGTCTTTCTTCAAGAAATTGCCCAATATCGTCCCCTCAGAGGTTCTTATGAAACTTTCTTAATTGAAGTCAATCTCTCTCTCCCTCTCCACATATACATATATATATATATATATTCATATTTCCCAATATGCATATAAGTTTATCAATTTGATTTGAAAAATATCTTCTTTGCTTGCTTTTTTGTTGACTCTATTCAAAATAAAAAAATACTTTGCCATATCTGCATTTGATGAGAAGCATTTTAAAAATAAAACCTTTCCTGCGCCTTTTGTTTTTGAGGAGCTGATTACACAGCCTCACCTGTGAATGACAGCGAATAGATCTTCAGTTGTTCGAGGTTTGTTTGGAGACACAAACACACCGTCTGCTTCAGCTTGAGAGTCTTCACTAAGTGGTGAAATGATGGCGTCATCGCTTGGTGATAATTCTTAAAATAAGAACAGGCATCTTTAAAAGGCAGTTATACAACTCACTACCCTGGCTTCACTGACTCAGGGATCAAACAAGTTTTTGAAATGGGAGAGAGATTTGTCAAATATTAGTTTCTCTGTAACAACAACTTTTTCCCCAATTATTTAAATAAGTGAAAAGAAATGGTGGAAGGAAACCAACACCCATGGCTACAGAGTATAATGAGGAATACAGGAAGCACCACAGGACACATTTCCATCCTATCAAAGATATCAATGACTGACCTTTCAATGAAGTCTCATCCATACATCTTTGGGTCTCCTCTGCTCTGCTGTTATCAGAGGCACTTTTGGGTGAAATACCTGAAGCAATATTTTCCCATTCAGAACATTTCTCGGGGAATGAATTTACAGTTGATATCTCTGATTCATAGCGGAGAGTCACAGGCACTTTGTTCTGGTGGCGGCTCATAAGTAGTTGATGCTTACGTTGACTGCTTATGTCTGTTACTCCAGTTGGTGAGTTAGATTGAAATGTGAGTCCATCCACAGATTCTGGCTGTCCAACTTCTTCCTGAATTCCAGAGGATGCCTTCTGTGCTTGTTCTAGGGCTCCATCTAGACCAGCTCCATACTGCATGATTTTACAGCCTAAATCATTGGGGCGTGCAGCAGACACGCTTTGAAATCCTTCTGTAGAAAACCCGCAGTTTTTACTTGATATGTTTTCTGGAATAGGCTCACTCTCTATCTGTGTTTGGTCTTTCATCACATTTGAATCTCGAAGATTGCTACTGGCTGAGGTTACAGTTTCTGGATCACACTGACTCTTCACATCAAAAGTAGGATTCCTTTCCAAATGTAGTTTATCTGGTCCCATCTCAACTACAGAGGAGTCTAAAAAGGACAGTAGAGTGTCTTCAGTAGAGTACTGCTGCAGTATTGATTTCTTTGCTGTGTGTGGCCTAATCTTACCAGGAGACAAGGCAGCCATTGTGACAGCACTTTCTTCTAAGTAGGGGAGATCTGTATTGTTACCTTCTTTTTGTTTAACTTCTTCAGACTTACTGACAGACCTAAGGTTAACAGATTTCAAGACTGTTGGTGTAATTGCAAGGGATGGTGGAGGATTTGACCTCAGGATTTCTCCTACTGTATTCGGTTTATGAGTAAAAACATGCAGTGGATGACGGTGGTGGAATGGTTTGTTCAAAACACTATGAAGAGCACTTAGGTCAAGATGGGTAGGAGGTATGATTGGAAGTTCCAAATCTTTGCTCAGTGATAGGGCTCCATCTTTTAAAGAGGGTTGCTGTAAGGAAGATTTCCTTTCTGGAACTTTAGGTTTTCTTTTGCTACCTCCAGGAGACAGTGGACCTGAAAAGAAAGCTGTAGGGAATGAGGAAGTTGGTGTTTCAGATTGGCTTGAATAGCCACTTGATGGAGATGCCAAGCCTGCCAGTTTTTCTGGTGAAGCCAGTTTAAATTCATTGTCAACAGAAGGAAGAGATGGAGTGGTTGCCCTTGATTCTGATTGGGATGTTTGGGATTCAGAGCTCTCGGGGGATTTGATGCATTCAATAACTGTGGTAGCTGTAGCCGTGCTTGAGTTAGATAAGGATCTATAAGGATCATTTGTTTTCAAGTCATTTAAAAGCCAGAGGTCTGCATAGTGAGTTGATTCAGCACCTTCAACTTTGAATGGTGGAATGTCTGTAGTATCCAACTGAGGTTCTTTAACACCATGTTCACTCTGGTTTATCCAAGAAGATTCCTGCTTGGCAGGAAGATTGGCATTTTCCATTCGAGAAGGAGTGTTGGAGAAATCAAGAGGCAACTTCATTTCCCTGGAACTATGAGGCAGATGCTGACCACTGCTTATCTTTGGTTCTTTCTTCTCAGGAACCTCTGCATTTCCTTCGGACTTTCTCAATGATGAGCTACGTTTAGGTGGAGTTGGTTTTGCCTTTGGTTTCCTAAAAGAGATGCTTGGTCTCCCCTGCCTCCTGTGGTCCAAGTAGTCCTGCCATGTGCAGTCTGGAAGAGAAGGAGGAACCCCCACACCCTGGCCATTCTCTGGGCCCATGGCTGCATAGTGACAGACATAACTCTTGTTACTTTTGAGACCACAATCAAAGTGCATGGAAGTATAGTATCCTTCTGTGTCCACTGAGAAGTGAGAGCTGGTATCTGCTTTGTCTGATGGAGACTTTTCCAGAAAGCTGTCATAAGTAGCCATGCTTGTGAAACTTGGGCATCCTAGGCTATCTGCCTTGGGACGCTCAGGGCTAAAATCTTGATGGCAAGATGCATCATGGTGGTGGTGCATATAATTCCACTCACTATCACTTGTGTTGCTGTTGTTGGGGTCATCCAGCAGATCCGCAACAGTAGAAGTGAAGGAGTTTGCCCGGTGTCCTCTTACTTTATCCAAGTGGTCACTGTACTGTTCTGCCACAAAGACACTGGTGTCCTCATTAGCATGAGGAGCTGTGTTCAGTGACAATTCTGAGTCACAGTGGGATGAGCCAGTGAGGGGAGGAGAAGCTGCAGGAGGGATGGTTTCTGAGGTCTGTGAGGGGCATGTGGAGCTGCTCCCACTCCAGTTACCACTGGATGACTGGTGGTCATCTTTCTGGTCCATGTGGCTGCTAAGGAGGACACCAGTAGTGGAAATACAGTGGATGGGGCTCCCAAAGGTATCTGAGTTGGAGGAGATGTCACAGCTTCCGGAGTCAGCAGCCATTCGGGACAGACGAGACCTCCCTCTCTCGCTTAACTTGTGCTGGGGGCTGTGAAGATGTTGAGAACAGGCCAGGCCCAAAGCAGGCTGGTGTTCCTGTGTATTCGGGCTGATTGGGGCTTCACTGCAATCATTAGGGGTTCTTTCGTGGTCAGCCACAAATGGCTCTCCTTCATATGTTGAGGGTTTAGCACCAACTTTGGGCTCAGCATCTCCACCTCTGTTCCCCTCCCGAGGAAGGCTCCGAGATCTTGTGCGGCTGCTTACTGCAGGAGAAAACATAGTGTCGCCTTTGTCGGCCAGTGAAGAAATGTTGCCGGCAGAATGAGAAAGGGAAGCTGCGATGCTTTGGCCCCTCTGAGCTCTGATTCTCCTTCTGGACGGGGCGGCAATCAGAATATCCTCAGTTTGGCACTCAGAGTCCCTGGTTCCAGATCTCCTGTTGACAGTGTTGGAGGGGTCTGGGTTTGTGTGCACAATCACATTCCTTTCCCTGGCCACTGGCGATTCATCAGAATCTAAGACACATGGAAAACACCATGAGATATTCACATAGCAGCAGACAAACAGACACTTTGAGAGCTGTTTCTGAGTCTCTGTGCTGGCATGTTAGAACTTTCTCTTACAGAAAAAAAATCATTATGTAAAATTAGGAGAAAGTTAAAATGCTTTCTGACTCTGGATTTGCCTCTGTCTCTCCACATGCATGCATATAAGTGTGTATACCTACACACATATATATCATGTACACATATTGAGAGAAGATATGCTTTTGTATTTTTTATGAATCATCTCTCTTCATTCTCACGTTAATTTGCCCCAACAAGTGACTGCTTTCATAAAAGAAAAAAACCCTTAATACAAAACATAAAGCCTTGGTCATTATCTTTCATTTGTGTTTTCTAATAGAAACATAATAAAATAAAACCCATAGATTGCATTATAAGAAATTGAAGTCTTATTTACATGAACTACTACAATAACAACAATAGTAATAATAATAATTTTTAATAGGTAGAGATAGTTTAAACACATTGGGAAGAAAAAAAATAAACAGTGTCCCCAAGGGTATTATATTTTTAATATTTCATATCTTAGCATGTTTAATTTTTTTTCAACTCACATACAGTGCATCTCTTTTCAAATGAAGTTTCAGCTTTCAAAAGAAGCCTTTTGCATTGAACCTTTATTCACATGTCCTACCTAAATGAAACTTTTTAAAATTGACAAAATATTTCACCTTGAAGACTTGAATCTCTATGCCTCAGCCTATACAATTAAATCTTTACCATCAAGAACAGAATTTAAAAAAAAACAATGCCACCTTGTTTGCTGAATACAAAATAAATATACACTGTTTCAAAACTGGTACAAGTTAAACATTTATTATTTTTAAGGCAGCCAATTGAAGGCTGGCACCTACAATCTGCATTAGAACAGAAATCATGAACATTTTTATACCACACCTATTTCTTGTTGAACTCTTCTGGGAATGCCCGAGATGGTTTTCCTTCTCCTCAGTTTTCGTCTTCGCTGCAGTACGGATTGTGAATGAACAAGAGAGCAGCGGATACTAGCCTCTCTGTCAAAACCAACTCCTGCAACCCACAAATAGATCTCATTAGCCTTTTAGAAATGGCAAACAAATTTTCATTTGCTTGGAAAACAGGGATATTTATTGATTGGGAGTCAGGGAACAGTTTGGATTAAGCCTGTGAACAAATATAAGGGAGCCCTTCTTCAGCCTTTATTTAAATTACGCTGCAGTAGATTAGGCTTTACTTCTAAATGCAGACTTCCACAACAGCTTACACTGCCAAGAGCAACAAGCAAAAGAGGAAAACCAAAAGGAAGAGAAAGAAAAGACATCAGCAAAGTACTCTCATACAGAAATGGCTCCCTAAGGATTTATAACCTTTAGTCTCTATTATTTATTGGTCTATTTCTGGGCTCTCTGAAACAAATACTTTGGCATAGTAGATCAGTACCCAAGATATGAGACTGAATTAGTTCAGCTAACATGTCCTGACCCACTTCTTCATTAAAAGCTCTTTTGTGAGTTTTTCCCTTACTATGAACAAACTTTCTCTCTAAGCATGTACGCATTACACCATTACACACACACACACACACACACACAAAACCCCCACACCTTACACACATCCTCCCATAATGCACATACACCCCCCCACACCATACACACACTGCACACATACACACCACACTCCCCTGCACACATATGCACATACCACACACACACACACACACAGACACACACACACACATACCATCCTGTGAGGAAAAACAAAAGCTTAGGGATTTCTTCTTTTCAATCATTGTGCAATCCTGTCTACTTTCTGGTAGTCGCTAAATTGGATGACTTTTAGTTTAACACTAACTATTTCACCAATATAAAATAAACACACAGAGGAGTTCCCAGCCCAGTACTTAAATGGAGCCAACTAACTATAAGATAGACTCCCCAGTCTTTATATCATTGTTTGCTTTTATACATGCAGGGACCAACCATGATGTTTATTAATTCCTCTCTTTAATCACATTATTTACATTACATGTAGTGTTATTAAAACAATGCGGAGGGAAGTAAGGAACTCATAGTTTCCAGCACAAGCATACACTACAGATTTTTCAGTGTGAACTGCAGCTCAGAAAGCCAGAGTAATGTGCTTGGGAATTTGGTTACTTCATAATTTATCCTAACTGTTAAGCATGGGACTGGATGGCATATTAAATCTTGGATCAGCTGCAGAGCATCAGAGTGCCAATAATTTCTAGAAGGTCACTTTGAAATATATGTATCACATGATAAATGATTTCAATATTATCAGATAATTCATACAGATGGAATTTTCCTTTCTTGGTTCCAATCAAAAACTAAAATCCTTCATTTGAATCTTAATGATTATTGAACACATGATATACAGACACTGTGTGTTAGATGGACACCATTAGTAATGTTCTCATTAAAGCTCTTGAAATCATCATCTAATCTAGGCCTTAGTTTGAGAGTTCCTGAAATAAAACATAAAGAAAAATCTCTTTTTCCTAATCACAAGATGATAGCCCATAATCACGGTACTAAATTTGAAAACAAGGTTTTACTTACAGCTCCAGGAAGGAAGCTGGGGCTGCTAATACTCAGATGTTACCAGACTGAAAAGTAGTTTAAGAGGGTACCAGAATGATCCATTTTGGCAGCTGAACTCCCCTAATATATCTCATTTAGATTACGGAGATCAGATAAGTGCACATTTCTAGAATAATTTATCCTACAAGTAGAATAGGTAGGTCATCAGGAGAATTAAGTTCCAGCTCATGACTGGCCAATGAACTGCAGCTCCTTTTATTCGGGAAGGAAATAATATCTGTCCCCGATACCTGGTCCAATTGCTCCCCATTCTAGATGAGAGAAATCTGAGTGGGGTAAATAATAGCAGTGCCCAAAGTGCTTCTCAAGGGACACGCAATCTTTAGTTGCATGGAACCAAGATGAAAACCAGTCATCTTACGGCTGTTTTTGAAATTTTCATTACAGAAATAAAGTAAAATGAAACTGGAAGAGCTGTCTAAAGAAATACCAATTAGCAGATTGCTTAATTTGAGGGGAATGATTGAGAGCAAAGTATAATAGCACACACATACATATTTTAAAATGTCATAATCAAGCCCATTACTTGTATGCTAACCTAAAAATTCATTTAAAAAATAAAACATCATTTGATTTACGACTAAGATTCCCAGATCTAGTTCTAGAATTTGCAATTTCTGCCAATGAAATTTGAAGAAAAGTGCAGCTAGCCTTCCATTCTACCTAGACTAATATTCAAACTTTCAATGCACACAACAGCAGAAAGTTAAAAGAAGACAGGCTTACTAGTTTTAAAATAGAATTCAGCATTCATCTATGTATCATGTATTTTTAGGTCAAAAATCCCTAGAGTCAATACAGAAGTCTAAATGGTCTTTTAGACAAAGCCTACTTTCATTCAGGGAAGCATGAAAACAGATTTTCTAGTTGGTTGACAGGACCTTACTTGCAGTTTTAGAAACCTGGGCTTTTCTGTTTTTCTTTCTTGCGGTGCCACACATCATTATCATGTGATCAATCACTGCCAAAGAGCTATTTGGTGATTTTTTTTTTTGAAAAGAAGCTGTCCATCATTTACATAATAAGCAGTCCGGCAGAACATATGCAAATTGATGTTCAAAACCTGACAAAAGCATATTGAACGTCTCCTGGGTTGTATGTTGATGAAAGGGATATTGCTTGCTTAAAAATGCTATTCTCAAATGGTAGGTATCCCCAACAGCATAGGTTTTGAACATATTTAATACATAGAATATTTAGACCCAACTGCCCCTAAGGAAAATAAAAACAATACCAGTGACATTGATGGGAATAATGCAAGAAGAAATGACTTGGGCATCTTGTTTCATCTTCTCCTCGGGTGTTGGGAGAGGTAGTGCTTTGCTCCAGTTGGTCTGCTTGTCCAGTGTAGAGGGGATATTGTGTATTGGGTTTTTTGGCCTCTGCCCTAACATAACATCTGTATCTTCATCCTCTGGGGAGTGGGACTGCAAACAAAGTACATTCAGATTTAGTTTACTCATAAGCACACATATAAGGGATTTCATAGTTCAGACTTTTAAAGGGAGGTCAGAAAGAAGCTTTTAAGACAAAGGAAACACTCATAGAATATAGTTAGTAAGCACAACTAATTGAAAGTTTTGTTTCAACAGTGCAGCGACACAAAGGTAGATAATGGGCTCCAGGGAACATACTTTTCAGGTGAAACAGAATTTGGAAGAGAGACAAGGTAGTCAGAAATCCCCTAGCTTCAAACTGAAGAAAACTGCCTGTCTCTAATCCAGTGAAAGGTACATCTACTTTCTGGCTCTTTATGTCACCATAGATTCCTACCAAAATCTTAAGTGCTCTAGATGATGAGGATCAAGGGAAGCAGATAAGTTAAATGCCTAGTGAAAGGCTCAGAAACCACACTGAAAACCTAGAGACAGGAGACATTTCCAGAACACACCACCTAAAGGA